TAGCACTGGATGTGTTGCTGCACCTTTATATCAAACAGTCTGTCCCATTGTACTTGTTAATTGTGCTGGCTGGAGGATTCTGTGACTTGTAGTCTTAAAATGTTATTTTCCAAATTCTGGGCATCTAGCTACTCCACATGGCTATCCCTGACCCACGCTCTCCCTGCTACTCACACCAGCCAATGCAGATAAACATCCATTTCCGCAGCTTGTCTGTAGAATAGGTGAGGACAATGGCTGTGTGGAGGTAACAGCCCTCACCAAACATCCAGAAGAAATTGGTGACATGGAAGTAGTTGTAGGCAGCCGTGACAAGGCGACACCAGAGCTACAGGGTGAGAACATTCAGAAAAGTGAGACTGAAGTACAGTACCATCTTTGACCTTAAAAATCCCAGCCCTGTTCTCACAAAATCAATGCAAAGCAATCTACAAGATGGCTTAGCTCATATATAAGTAAATTAAGAAAAAAAAAAAAGTGAGACTGAAGTACCATCTTTGACCTTAAAAGTCCCAGCCCTGTTCTCACAAAATCAATACAAAGCAATCTACAAGATGGTTTAGCTCATATATAAGTAAATTAAGAAAACAAACAAACAAAAACACTTTCCAGTTGCTTCTTGAGCTGTTTCTGAGACCTCTTTGGCTCTTTGCAAGCTAAAGAGAATTTTGACATAGCAAACCTGCTGTATTAGCAATCAGCAAACTTCAGAGATCTATTTGCTTCCTTCCCCCAGAATTCTTAGATTAGGCTAGACGAAGTAGGGCAATGGGGCTGCATGTTGCCCCACCACCACTGTTCTTATTACCTTCTGTCCTCCTCCACCCTTCTTTTCAGCACACAAAAAAGGGTGGAACTTGCAGACCTTGGAAGTCTTGAGAGATAATGATTAAACTTTCAATGGATCACAGGACCCACTCCTCAATGAGCATTCCAAACACATTATAAGTATGCTTCTCACTACTTCTAGTTTTACTTTTTTTTTGGGGGGGGTGCCTTTTGGCATTTTTGTGTCAGTGCTGAAAATGGACCCCCACACCTACCAAAGTTGCTCACCCCTGCCTTCTACCCACAATCTGGAGCCTGGTGGGAAAGAAGCAACACTTAGAACCAAAGAATTCTACATCTAGACATTTAAATATCAGAAGTGAACAAAGATCAGAGACCTTTCACATCACACCACCCAAGCTTTCTTCCTTTGAGCCATATAATTTAGACTTTGTTGCTCTTGTTAAACAACTGGGAGTCAGGAGTATTTGCTCATAAGAATTTGGATATTTATTTATTTATTCAATTTATATGCCGCCCACACTACCCAGAGGTAGAGATACAGTATGAATCTGTGGTGGGAATGGGGAAGAGAGGGTGGGAAGGAATAAAGGTACAGATCTATATGAATGTATATATTTATCAAAATAAAAAAGTAAAATTAAAAAAAGGAGAAATCTTTGCACATCTTCTAAAGATTGACTGTATCAGTCCTGATTAGAGATGGGCATGAATTGGTGGTTCGGTGGCCTGGCATGGTTTGTTTTCTCCAGGTGGATGCCTGTGGAGGGGGCGAGGCACCGAATCATGGATCAGCTGTTTAGCTGGGCATGAACCACGCTGAACCACCAAACCAGCAATCCGTGCCCATCTCTAGTCCTAATCTATCTCTGCCTTGCTAGACTACCCAGAAACACACGTGACAACCCACTGTATAAGGAAATGGCCATATTACTATTCCCAGACCAAAATTTGACATTTCCCTCTCTTAATTTCCTTCTCTCTCTCTCTCTCTCAAACCATCAAGCCCAGGTACTATGATGCCTTGATATAATACAATTGTATACCCTTTTCATCCTGTGTAAAATGTTGACAGGTTTATGAGATTTTGTATTCCCAGCTCATCTGATCTGCCAGCTCCCAAAGATGTGCCTCTAATTCTAATGTGTGACAAAAGCAAAAATCAGAATAGACATACCTGTTTTGGGAAAGGAGGTAGGCTGCCATGTAACATGATTATTCCTTGATGCTAGACGAGGGGTGGGGAGGGTCTAGAAATTAATTCTTAGAATGTTGTGAAGTCTAGGAAAGAGCTATGCTAATCAGTAAATGTGACAAAACTGTCTGGGCAAAGGTTAGAGTGGGGACAGAATCCTATGTGACAGGTATGAGTCATTAAGTCATTCTGAGATTCAGTGTCACATAGAAAGGAGGAATCACAGAAAAAAAATACAGGAAATGCTGGGTCAGGGGTAAGTCGAAGTGACCGATGTGTGGGGCCTAAGAGGGCAAAGGGCAGCTGGAATCTACAAGTCTACCAATAAGAAATGCTGTAAACCCATCAACATTTTGTATAGGAAATAAGGACACAGTCCTGGCACAAAACCAGGACTGATTTACAGCAACTCTAATGGGGTTTTCAAGGCAAGTGAGGTACTTAAGTGGTAGTTTCACCAGTTCCAACCCTCTAATGAATTTCCAAGGCACAGCCAGCAAATCAAACCCAGGTCTTCTGCACTCTAGTCCATTACTCCATTCACTACACCAGTGGTCCCCAACCGTGGGCCTCCAGATGTTCTTGGACTACAACTCCCAGAAGCCTTCACCACCACCTCTGCTGGCCAGGATTTCTGGGGGTTGAAGTCCAAGAACATCTGGGGGACCAAGGCTGGGGACCACCGCACTACACTACCACTGGCAACCCCCAATCTTACGTTACTAATATCTTAATCTATTTTCCTGTCACTCCATACTTAGGAATGAGTGAAAATTACAGAAGTGCGGCTAAGGATTGATTGCATTCAGGCCAAAAAATGAGTTTCAGTTGTCCTCATCTCTATGGTTTATAGCAGTGGTCTCCAGTCTTGGGCCTCCAGATGTTCTTGGACTTCAGCTCCCAGAAATCCTGGCCAGCAGAGGTGGTGGTGAAGGCTTCTGGGAGTTGTAGTCCAAGAACATCTGGAGGCCCAAGGTTGGGGACCACCGGTTTATAGCACTGGTTCTTAACCTTTGTTACTCAGATATTTTTGGACTGCAACTCCCAGAAGCCTTCACCATCAGTTCTGCTGGCTGAGGTTTCTGGGAGTTGCAGTTCAAAAATACCTGAGTAACAAAGGTTAAGAACCACTGGTTTATAGGATCTGAATAGCTCAGACAGTGGCAACCAGAAAACCATCTGCCCCATTCCTCTGTGATGTCACAGCAATTCACCTTGGATGGGGCTGTTTGTACCTGAATGAAGCTATTTCTCTGCTGTTGAGTTGTAGCCCTTCAAAGGCTCCAGATATTGCTGGACTGCATGTCGTCCACCCTTGGTTTAATGTTTTACAAGATACAGTGGTGCCTCGCATTACGATGTTAATTCGTTCCAGCAAAATTGCTGTAGAACGAAAACATCCTAAAGCGAAATTTAAAAACCCAGAGAAACACATTAAAACCTGTTTAATGCGTTCCGATGGGCTTAAAACTCACCGTCCAGCAAAGATCCTCCATAGGGCGGCCATTTTCGCTGCCTGTCTTGCAAGGAATCCGTCCCTAAACACAGCAGGGAGCCATTTTATTTACCCGGCAGCCATTTTGAAACCACCGATCAGCTGTTGGAAAATCGTCATTTTGCGAAGAATCGGTTCCCGAAGCAGGGAACCAATCATCGCAAAGCGAACTTCCCCCATAGGAAACATCATTTTGCGATCGCAAACGCGATCACAAAAAGTTCATCATAATGCGATTTCATTGTGAAACGAAGCGATCGTAATGCGAGGCACCACTGTAGATTCATGCCAATCCTCTAGATTTAACTAGGTTTTCTAGGTTTTATTACAGATCAAGCAATATGGATTTCATGCCAGCCATGCTCAGGTGAACCTACCACATTGCTTTCGTGCACTTCTGGATTCATGGTGAGCTGCACCACAAACCATGTGGCATTCCTCAGAATGAAAGCAGTGATCAAATTCCAATGGATAATATTCCGTAAGCACCGGATACTCCTGAAAAAAAGAGAAAAAGACCATTCATTATCATACAACAGAAGAGGTTAGATACTAAATGATGATGAAATGCAGCAGAATCTCCACCAGGCCATCAAGATTCATCTTTTTGGATTTTGCTTTTTTGCAACTTGACAGCCTCCAGATGTTTTTGGCTGCATCTCTCATCAAACACTGCTGCCACAGGCATGATGCAGCACACCTGGAGAGGATGCACAATTTTGCTTTGCTCACCTCAGTCGCATGAAAAGGACAAATGCAGCCAACAGGGCTCCCAGGGAAATGCAGTGCCCGAGGTAGTTGATGACAACAGCAATGTGGTAGTGGAGCTTGCTCCTCTTCTGTAGAGGGGAAAGACATGAAAGCAGTCTGTGAAGCCAACGCAGACACTGTCTAGAGCAATGGTTCCCAACTTTGAGTCCCTAGATGTTCTTGGACTAAAACTCCCAGAAACTTTCACCACCAGCTGTGCTGGCCAGGATTTCTGGAAGCTGTAGTCCAAGAACATCTTATTTATTTATTTATTTTATTTATATCCCGCCTATCTAGTCGATAGACCACTCTAGGCGGCTGGGGACCCAAGGTTGGGAACCATTGATTTAGAGCCTCAGGAACATATCACTCTCAGAAAGTTAAATAGTACATTTAAATAGTGGCTCACAGATTCAGCTGCCTGATGTTGCGATGTGTGTGTACTGAGATACCTGTCAATGCTGGTGGGTTGTGCTGGAGTCCTAACAGTTATTCTAAGATGGCAGGTGCTGGTTCCAGGCCTGAGAGGAAAGACTACTAGTTCAGAAAGAATTTTGTTGTGCGTATATGCTGTAAGGGTTGAGCTTAGGTGGCTTGTAACCAAAGCAGCCATCTTCCCTTTGAAATTTTGAGATGACCCTTCCCCCCCCCCATATGTCCCTGAGCTCTCCCTGGTTCAGGCTTGGACACCCACCTGCAAATGTCTAGGGAAAACATGTTAATGTCCAGGTCCCTCAACATTTTTAGCTACTGTTAATGTTCTGGGAACAAAAAAGCCATTAGATTTCTGACCTAGTTTGTTTGCTTAGCTAACTGTTCTAGGAGGAATGAAGCCTGTTTGGCTACAACTCTGAACCGGTGTCACGCCTCCCTTCCTCAGCGATGCCGGTAAACTTTCTGTCACTTGCCTTCGTGTCACCCATGGAGCCATTTGGAAAATGCTATTGGGTCCCTTCATTTATCTCCTCTGCTCCAAAGAGATTTTACAACACTACCTGTCTGCTCAGCTAAGCTCTTGACCGTCCATCACTCCATTTTATGATAGTGCAGTTCCAAGCACAGAACCTAACTCCTGTCACTATACCAATCTGATCAGAGAATCTGATATTCTAGTGCAAATTGATAGTTAGAGTGTTCAAGATTAACTGAGTATAAAACACACCAATGAAAAGGGACCATGTTTTGCTCCGAGCGGCTCTTAAAACGTGTGGAAGAGGTGCCATAGGGAAGGATGGGGAAAGGTGGCAAGGGAGCATTACTGGCTTGCTACAGGACCATTACATCAGATATTGGGGATTTTAACTTCCAGCACTCCTAAGGCAGCACAGCAGCTGGGGATTCTGAGAATCATTGTTGAAAAATCAACTTTCCCAAGTTCTGCATATCCAAGACAGCATCCTTAGAGATGTGAAAGGGAGAGGCTCTGTGGGAAAGAGAAAAATGGCAGTCCTCTGCAGTTTAAGTTGCTGCAATGTTCTTGCAAAGGGGGGGAGCAGTTTCTTTCCCCCCATTGAACTGCTAATTCACAGAGTGGATACAAGCCTCACAACAGGACAGTTGGCTAATTTAATTAGCCATTTGTCCTCTCCTGCGACTTCTACTTGAGCCCCTAGGGACAACCAAATTTAATTGCCACTGCGGATATATCATGTTTCCAGGAACCTTTGCTAAATTCTAATTAAGTGACAGCCTTCTGGGATTTTCCAGATCATAATGGCTACACAACAAAAACGTACGCGCGCACACCGAGCAAAGGATGGGAGGGGGGGAAACAATTTGCACCAGCCACTAGCTGCTGTTGCGCTGACAATCCCTTTGCAGCCGATTCCCTGGACCAGGTTTGAGAGCAGGAGCCTAAATCAGAAGGAAACTGTTTCAGGGAGGCATGGCAAGTTTTGAATACCATTAAGAGCTGCAAAGTGGAAGGCAAAAGGATGATCTGACCAACATCAGGAATATCTCTTGGGCAGGTTTCCTTGAAATGAGGCTTGAAGGCTCAACAGAACAGGAGGCCCATAGACAGAACAGAGAGGGTGTATCAACCTGCAGCGGTAAGATCACTCCCCCTAACTTTAATCATAGTCCACTGGTAATCCCTGAACATCAAAAGGCAGGTTATAGTTCAGGACTAGTCCTACTATAAAACAGAGTGAAGTAGCTGATGCTGGTGGGAGTCAACCGATTGGAAAAGAGAGTTATGCGTGCTACCGCTCAGCCTATTCAAGATCATCTCTACTAAGTAGCACATGAATTTACCTTTTGCCTCAGACTGCAAAATGCCATTGAACATCCCTGTTGTAGTGAATCTGTCTACCAACCTATCCACTGGGGCAATTGGGATTGCTGTTCTAACTTCTGGATCCTGGCTGTCAATCCAGCAACACAATTCACTGAATTGCTATTTTAATTTTTGGGTCCATCAGTTCTAGAGCCAGGACAAATTTAAATTTAAGACTTATAGGTTGAAATTTGACACACCCTTAATAAGATGTTAAATAAGGTTTGTGAGACATGTGAGATGTTCAAGGAATGGCTTACCTCTGGCACTCACGCGGACCCTTGAGTTTCTATAGCTTTGTGGGAACTTGAGCCCAGATCAGCTGAGTCCTGGTCGGAAATCACAGTGGTTTTGCTTTAGTATTAAGGGACTATTGGTTTGCAGTCTTGCTGAAAGGCCTATGATCTGTCCCTACAGGACAGTCTTGAAAGCTCTTTAGATGAAAATTATCTTTGGTCCCAATTTACTCCAAAATTACTTCCCATTCCTTGTCTGGGGCTTTAAAATATTACAGCTAATCTGACACCAAAAATATTCTCAAGAGTCCTTGGAAGAAACAATGAAAGTAGGAAGATGGTTCCAATGGGCTTTTAATAGCCTCTTGCAGAGAAAATGGCACAGACCATGTTCCATTCACATGATCTGATCTGGTAATCCTGGGCTATTACCAATCCATACATAAAGACACACCACCATACCTGAAATGGATAGCAGTTCATACCTCCTCACTGAGGATCTCTTGACACTGGGAGTAATTCACGCGGGTGGCCCAACTCCCATTCACGAAGCACTCTCTGTACACATTGTCTGCAAAAGAGGAATGCAGAAAAGGCTGAATGGTGCCAACAACCTAAAGCCAGATCTGGTTAAGACCTTCTGAAGTTCAACCTGCGCCCAGTATAAAAGCACAGAAGCCACCCTTCTTTGTACTTCTTTTGAAATAATAATAATTATTTCAGATGTATATCATAATCTGAGGGCCTCACTTATAGTTTACTTAGCTTGTACATAAATCCAGCTTTTTATGGTCTGCTGTCAAATCACTGGGACTGTTGACAGCAGTAGGGAAAAAGGGACAGTTTTCCAAAGTTCTCCGTAAAGGTACAGACATATGAACATACCATGGAAACATTGTAGTCCACTGGAGTTCATCCAAGTTATTTGGTTTTATGTCAATTGTATTACACCTCAACTTACTAGGTCACTATAAAACCATTCAAACTCGTGCCCTCCTGCTCATTTTGTAGAATGAAACAAACAATCACACAGACAAAACACTGAATCATTGTAGTTAGGAAAAAGTAGAAACCCCCAGTGGTGGTGGGGAGTCTAGATTTGAAAGAAAAGCAGGCTGATTGTCATGGACCTTTAGATCATTGAAAAATACTTTGAATTCACCTATGCTAATTCCAAAGCAAATTGCAAAGTATTTTCCAATAAAATTGCATGCTTAGTTTTTTAAAAAAGTTTTTACTGAGAAGAAGCTCCTGAATAATAAGCGCAGTTCTCACTAAGCACTGCTGTTTCTTCTTTAAAAATCAGTAATATAAGGAGATAGTACATTAGTTCAAGCTAAGAGTAACTAATCCTGTGATTATATGATTAAGTTCTAAGACATCATTTGACATGTGCACTTATGTCACTTAATGTTGGAGAACTTAATTGTGCGAGATGAAATGGAGAAATAGAGACACTGAATTAAGGAATAAGCAGGAAAGAGACTGTTCTTAAAGTCACAAAATCAATAACAAATACAAATTATAGAAAATTTTGGTGGATAGATAAACAACAGGATTTATATATGACTCATGACTGGCATGCTCTGTTGCGTCACAGTTAAGAAACAGGATTTTGCAGAAACAGAAAATGCTATGACTGAAATGTTATAGTTACACCATCATTAGTACTATTTGAATTAAAATGTAAAAGTGACAACAAAGGAAGAAGTAGAGCTTATGCAAATCGTAGCTTGCAGGGTAATGTCTAAAAGTTGAGATGCAGCAAATAACAATGGGATAAAAAAAATGACGTAACTTAAATCGGCTGAAGGAGAAGCTAAAATATCTAATTTCTAATTTTTCAGAAACTAGAATGGTAATACTCACCAGAGGGGGGGGGGAATAATAACAGCTGCTTACTTTCTCTTTTTATCAGAACTTGTAAAAATTACGTATTCATTTATTTTGAACTGTAACTCACAAAATCAGGGAGTTGTGCCTAAAAGAACTCCTGTAATTTATTTAAGCTCTGCTTCTTAACAGCAACCTGCAGAATCTTTTCCAACGTGTCAAAGCCCCTTGAAGCCTAACGTATGCAACATATTCAAGAATCAAAAAGAGTACATGTGTATCACGCCTGCTGGCCTCAGCCTCAACCTCCGATGTATAGACTCTGTACAGATCTTTGGATGAACCAGGTAAGGTTGAGGGAGGGCATTCATATCCACTAAGGCAACCTCCCCCAATCAAGTGCCTTCCAGAGATTTTGGACTACAGCTCCCATAATGCACAGCCAGCACAGCCACTAATGGCCAACATATATGAAGGGCACTGAATCGAGGCAAGCTCCTTGTGTAATATTGTAGGGATAGGACAAGGGGCATTTGTGTGCAGGTCAGTTGTGTAGGAAGTCAAACTGGGAAACCAGTGTCAGGGTCTGAAGAGAAGCATCATATACTCTGTACAGCAAGGGAACATAACTGGTCTTGGCAACTTACACTGCAGCCCTATCAGAGGTCCAGGGAGTCGGGCAGGGCTTCCTCCCAGGTTGTCAATACAGGATTGCAATCTGTATTGGGGCATACAATGCTCTGCAAATAAATTAGTGCAGAGGGTTGGCTGTACCCTTGGGCGGAGTGAAGCAGTGGCCTCGGGTGGCAAATCTGTGGGGGGCAGCAACAAGATGTTGAAGGAGTGAACTCTCCACATCACAGTCTGGCTTGGCATCTCATAAAGTGGCCTTCTGTCCTTAGGTGAAATAAAGGATTCTTCCCAATGAGGATGATGTACTGTCAATTCAATTCTGACCAATGGTGACCTTTTTCAGAGTTTTCCAGCAAAAAAACAAGCAAACACTCGTAAGTGGTGTGTACCATTCCCTTCCTCTGGGGGTGACTTGGGAATGAGCAGCTTGATAGCCAGTGTTAAAGAAAGATTTAAGTTGCCAGCCCAGCCAGGTATTTTTTTTTACATGGAAGGAGAAGAGGAGCAATCTTGTCCTTTATTTCAGGCAACAAAATATCTTGAGTTAGTCCTGATAATGACACATTCCCATAAAATTGCTGCTACGTAGGTGTAAGGAGGGGAGAACGTATGTAGAAAAGATGGCTATATCATGGTTCCCAATTGAATGATACTTTGCTCTTGCTGGCATCTCCTGTTTGCACCTTTCCTCCTGCATTAGTGGCCTCATCCTCAGAATTAATTCTTGGCATATTTCATTTTCTCCTGTGATTCTGCCGGACACAATAGCAGAGACAGGAATGGCTCTGACAACTCAAAAGACCATGTCTTATTGATTTCCTCCCCTGGGGAATGTGCTGGCTGGGAGACGCTGCTCTTCTGTCTTGACACAAGAAAGGAAGGAAGGGAAGGAAGCTAAGCTGTTTTGAAATGATGTGACAGGATCGTTTTCACTCACATTATGGCTTCAGCACCTCTGTTTAACTAAGAAATCATGGTGTCTCCCATTCCTCCCAATTTCAAATCAAAGCTGTCAGGTCAGACAGGAAGGGCAATAAAGCCATAGCTGTTTCCAGCACAGTGACTCTACTGAAATCCGGAGAGAGCAGAGCAGGCAGTAAGACATTTTATTGCCGGAGATGAAGAATGACATCCCCTCCTTCCCACAGCCATTGCCATGTATAAAAGAAAACTGGACTCATGGACTGGCTAGCTGGACGAGATGCGGTAGGTCAGACTACATGACCCTCACAGACTTATCAACCCCTTGTCTTCAAAATGTGCAGGGCTTCTTCCAGATACTTGGCATAATAACAAGATATATCAAAAGCAGCAATGAATGGGAAAGATTTTACCTGTTTTGGCATGAAAAGCATTGTATTTCAGTGTGATGGTCATTTTAAAGGGCATTTTTAGGCATTTTAATGTGACACTTTCCAAATATCTTGGGACTACAAATCCCACCATCCCCAGTCAGTAACTGGATTATTACACATTAAGAAAATGCCGGATTAGGGAAGGTAAACTCCCAGAAGAGCACTTATGTGCAAGGCGAACCTTCAACCCACAAGCCTAATCTGGCCAACAAAGGATCTGGATTTGGCCCACAATGGGATCCCCTCTTGGAACATGGGTTGGGTACAAACAAGGAAGTTTTGGAAAACTCGCTAGGATACCAACAACATATTTTTAACTAGATGGTCCCTAACCTTAATAAATAATAAACTTGGTGGTCTACTATTCCTATAATCCCTTGCCAGGCTAATGAATTGTTTTAAATGAATCAATATTACATGCTAATGTTCAGGCTAGTGAAGCAACTGCTTACAAATAACAGGAGGAACAATAAAGTTACATATGTACGTGTGTGTATGTGTATGCATTTAATATACCACCTTTTTGCCTTGTAGAACTCAAGCTGGTTCCAAGCATGAATTTTTAAAAAACAGATATACATTAAATAATATACAGTATTGGAATACTATTTGATGAGGTATGACATTTAAAAACACAGAATTAAAATTCACCCACCCTTATAAAAGACCCTTTGTCATCATGAAACCACAGCCAAAGGCCTGTCTAAATAAAAATAACTTTGCCTGCCAGAGGAAAGACGACAGGGAGTGGGGGCAACCTCATCTTCCTCAGAAGGAGTTCCAGCTTGGGAGCTCTCCGGAACCTGGAATCCTCTCTAGAATGTGGGAATGCAGCCATCTAAGGGAAGGAGGTAATTCTCTCTGGACTTAGGATTTCTGGGTTTCAAAATGTGCCTGTCTGGGCATTCCGCATGCAAGCATACATGTCAAACCTCACTGGGGGAAGATATTTTAAGTGGAGAAAGTTTTTAAAAGTAGATTTTTCAACTTGTCTACCACAAGAAAGAAAAGAAAAAAGAAAAACAAGATGAAGTGTTCTTTGCTCCCTGTTCACACACGGTATCAGGGGTAGTTTCTCTATAGTGGTCAGCAGTTCTTAACCCAGGGGTGAGCAATTAATTTCTATAGGGGGGGCCACATGAAAAATCTGAACTGTGTTCGGGGGCCGAACCAACTTGACTTAAAAATAAAATGAAACAGTGATGTTATGATTGTTTTTATTTTAACCGTGTTAATCTTCACAAGTACTAAAGAGGTTTTTTGCGGTATGCTAAAGATAAGCAACTGGTCAACTTTAGACAAAAACCTATAAATGGTTTTGATGTTCAACTTGTTCAATGAGAGAAATCCAGTCTGTCTTGGGCTTGAACAAGTGCTTGAACACTGGACTGGAGCGACGACCAGTGGGCTGAACAGGAGCGGCTCGCGGGCCGGAGGTGGCCCTCGGGCCGCACTTTGCCCAGGTCTGTCTTAACCACTGGGCAGTGATGGCTTCTTTATGACTCAGCTTGGGTTCAATAGCAAAATTATCTCTTCTGCTTTTCAGAATTAGTGTCCCCCAAACTTATTATTAGGTTTGTAGCAATAACAAAATTTTAGAATAATAACAAGCTTCCATCTCTTCTGCAAGTGTTTCTACGGGCTCATAGATAATAATACATATAACTGCATAACATCAAGTCAATTCTGACTTATAAACTTATTATTAGGTTTGTAGCAATAACAAGATTTTAAAATAATAAGCTTCCAACTCTTCTGCAAGTGTTTCTACAGGCTCATGGATAATAATAAATATAACTGCATACCATCAAGTCAATTCTGACTTATGGTCACCTTTTTATACTGCTATAAATTTCCATTCCTATTTTCAGTGCATAGTATCTGCCTGATTTTTCTCATTTTTCCAGCTGCATGTCTATCAGCTTTCCAATTGTACTCTTTATAAAAAAACCCCTGAGCATTCTGTATCAAAATGCAGTTTAAAAAACAAAACAACAAATAGCAACCCTCAAGAGAAACAGTAGACAAAGAAAGGATGAAGCATCTCTCTTTCTATCTCTCCTTCTCTGCGCTCTCCTTCCAAAAAAAAAAAAAAAAACAAAATGTCCTCCTCCCTCAAAACAGGCCTGTCAAACAAGAGACACATGTTTTTGCCTGTAATCCACAGTTTGGCCTTATTAAAGGAAAAGCAAGGTGATGACCCAAATGCTTTATGCCAGCCTCCCTGTCATAAATGTGCCTTCCGCCTGCAACCATTTTATATAATCTTTATGGGGGGGGGAAAAGATCCATAATTACAAAGTAGTTTATTTGCCACCATTAGATAAATTCTGTCAAGATCATGGGCTTCAGAGATTTAAAAAGGATCATGATAAGTCTCTCAATACCTCCATCTCTGAGGGAATTTTATCAGTGGGGGACTTTTACTATTGGGGCTTTTACTATTGAAACAGTCACATTTAAAGACCACATTTTGTGGGTGCGTGAGGGGAAATGCTTGGGTAAACCTGAGTGTAATGATAACCAGTTCCAAGTGATATCTAATTGGGTACACTTTTCTAACATTCAGCTTCCCAGTCTTCTGCTGTAACAGCAATTGCTTCAGAGAGGAAAAAGAGAACACAATCACAGAATCACACCACTTTTCTTCACCCCATTATACCGCAGCCACAGCACAAAACTAACAAGATGCTTTTCATAAGTTTTCACAGCCTTGTCTCAATGAGCTTCTATCAGAGCTTGGAAAAGTTATTTTCTGGACTAAAATGTCAGAAATTCACAGCCAGTTTGGCCAGTCAAGGTCTTGCTGGCGGTGGGATTCTGGAAGTTGTAGTACTAAAATGTAACTTCTCTGGGCTCTGTCTTCGGTCATTGCATGTCCGCACAAGTGGAAACTCATTAACTAAACAGGAAAGCTATTCCAGAATTTTACACTGACCACCTTCAAATTTCTGTTTTGTGCAAGAAGGAAGGATCTGTCCACTTTTTAAGGAACAGCTAAATTACTGTTTTGGATCTAAAACTGGGCTGTGTGTTTTCCAACCTTGCGAAATCAAAGTTACTCTTAAATATCAGTGCTTGTTTAAGCCAGCATGACTGCAATGGTGTAAATCACTGCAACAAAGTGACAAGTTTCCACTTGTATATGTGATTCGTGCAATGAGAGACATAAGAAATAACTTATTAACTGATGGTAGTTTGTGGCTGCAGTTTATGCCACTGCATGCACACCCCTGTAACTAATCAAAATCTGACCAATTAGTCACCAAAATCCTTTGTATAGCTAGCACCTGCAGAAAACAAATGGTAATAACTTGCTTCTCACTGGTAATGAATGAATCCTGACTTGGATTTTCAGGGGAATGCTTGCTCACTGGCTTGGTGCTTGCCTGAAAGTCTAAGCAGGGACTTACCAGCAAAAAAATCGCACTGTAAATTACACTTTCTGCCTTCTGCAAGTGTAATTAAACAACAGGATTTGGTCTAGTTGCAGTTATAATTCAAAGATCTCAAAAATAGTCACTGTTATGGCTGTCATTTTTTAAAAAAGTTTTGTTTAGAGTTATGATGTAGATTAGACCAGTCTAGGCCAAGATAATTAGGCCATCTAGTTGCACCCTAAAATTACACACCAGACCATAGGAGGCCTATGCATCGAAGGTAACATTTTTTTTGCAATTTATGAAAAATTACAGGAAATATGAGTGAAGTTATTCTTTGTCCAGTAACAATTATAATATACATTAGTTATAGTAGACAATAACTATAAGAAGCTTGTTTTTGTAGCTAGTTGCATCTGAAATCTGCAGCAACGCAGAATTGCTTAAATCAGTTGATGCAGCTGAAATTTATTTATATTTATTTATTTATTAGATTTATATACCGCTCATCTAGAACATGTCTACTCTGGGCGGTTTACATATAATATAAAAATAAACGCGGTTTACATATAACAAAAAATAAAGTAAGGTAAATTCCAAGTTAATCACAGAGTCCAAGATGGGGAAAGGAAGAGAAGAAGAAAGAGAGAGAAAAGAAAGGGGTGATAGGCTAGGTAATGGCTGTAGGGAAGGCCTGTCTGTCTAGCCATGTCCTCAAGCTAGTCTTGAAGGCCCTCAGCGAGGGAACCAGGCAGATCTCAACAGATAAATTGTTCCAAAGGCGAGGGGCCACTGCCGAGAAGGCCCAATTTCTGTTTTTTCCCACCGGGCCTCTCTTGGCGTTAGACCCCTCAGCCGCCCAGCCTGACTGAAGCAGGTCCTAAACTGTTAAGGGCTTTATATGTAATGGTTAACACATTGAAATCAATGTGGAAGCAGATAGGTAGCCAGTGTAAGATGGCCAAAGTGGGGGAAATATGGTGAAATCTTTTCACCCTGTTAATAGCCTGGCCCCTGTGTTCTGGACCATCAGAAACTTCCATACCAGTCTCAAAGGAAGCCCCATGTAGAGAGTGTTGCAGTAGTCTATTTTTGAGACTATGAGCGCATGGATCAGTGTGGTGAGCGCCCCCGAGCCTAGATAGGGACGCAGCTGGGCGATCTGCCGAAGATGTAAGTGGGCAAACCGAACCACAGACGCTACCTGGGTCTCCATGGTAAGCGCCGGGTCAAGATGGACCCCCAGATTGTGAACCAAATTCTTTGTGGTGAGAATCACCCCCCAAAAGAGAGGGAGTTCCCCAAACTTGGGGGTCCCCACCCGCAGGACCTCCGTCTTGTCCGGGTTCAACCTTAGTCCATTCGATTGCATCCTTTGCAGAACGGCCTCCAGGCAGCACCCAAGGGACAGAACGGCATCCACTGCAGATGAAAAAAAGGAGATGTAGAGCTGGGTGTCATGAGCACACTGGTGACACTAAGCTCCACATCCCCAGATGATCCCCACCCAACGGCCTCGTATAGATGTTAAACAGCATTGGGGAGATGATCGAACCCCGCGGGACCCCACAGCTGAGTGCATCCCCAAGCTGCACTCTCTGGGGATGGTCCTCCAAGAAGGACTGGAGCCAAGCAAGAGCAAGGCCACCAATCCCCAACTCGGAGAGCCTCTCCAGGAGGATATCATGGTTGACGCTATCAAAGGCGGATGAGATATCAAGGAGGATGAGCAAGGACATTTTGCCCCTGTTGACTTCCCTAAGTAGGTCATCCAGCAGGGCGACCAATGCCGTTTCCGTGCCGTGGCACAGCCTGAAGCCTGACTGAAATGGATCGAGGGCATCGGTTTCATCCAAGGGAGCCTGAAGCTGGTCGGCCAACACCGCCACAATTACCTTGCTGAGAAAAGAAACATTGGCTATGGGCCTATAATTGCCACTAGAGCAAGGGCAATTTAGATGCAATCAACAGATGCAATTAGATGCAATTCGGGCAACTGCAGAAGCACAAACTATCTGTGGTCTAAGCAGAAGGGGTGCCTTATCCCAGACCATGGAAGGCCTATGCACAGAAGATTATGTTTCTTTCAATCATATGAAGCCTGACTGTTCCAGAAGGCACACATGGCCTGCATTTCATCTATGCTTAAAGAGAACTTTGAGACCTGAGCCTCTGCAGGCTGCTTCCATCCATGAATGTTTCTGGCTGAAGACTTGACACAGTACACATTATTAGCCACCATCCCCTACCCTCTTCACTGTGCATACATCCTATTTTAATCCATATCAGTTTTCGGTTAAAAGTGCCTTAATAATACAGCCTCTCAGCCACTGTCCCATTCCCTCTCCCCTTCCTATGGCTTACTTGAGGTGTTGTATCGCACTCCAAAGAAATACTCAGGACAGGGGCGTGCCACCAGCTGTCCAGCAGCACTACGAGGCCAGCATGTCCCAATCAGGTCAACTAAGGCATTGCACTGGGGACCTGCAAGGAAGCAAGCAAAGAAGAATTAGCAAAATTAGTGACACTGATGTCATACAGTATATCTTGTAAGGTAAACTTCAGGATAGATATCATCATCTATGTCATTTATTCATATAATCCTGCAAACACAGCACAAATCCTGTAAATCTAACATTTATTTTAGGAGCAGGGATTAAAAACAAATGCCTCATCCATTCAGTTTAGCAAATCATTCTCTTAAACAGCACATACAATTCTGCCCATCTTGATGATTCTTCATACTGAATGACTGCTGATATCAAAATGGACATAAATTCAATTATTAGTCCCTGCTAATCAATGGGATTTTGTTGAGTCAGTTCTCGCTGGGACTGAAAACTGGATTTAACCTATCTAGCCACACAAACCATAACCATTAATTTTTTGGGGGGAGGAATAGAAGAGATGAGTCTGGGGACAGGGGGAACCTGCCCTGCCATTAATGGTTCCGATGACTGGGAGGTTTCTGAATCTTCTAGAACCAGTAACTCCTCAGATTCCTCAAGAAAGAGGACTGGCAGTTCTTTGGCCACCAGAGGAAGCTCTGCTTCCACACCTGCCTGAGAGGTCATCTGAGGAAGAACGGTAGTGGTGGGTGGTGGCTGGCCTAGTCAGGGGCTCCCCCCCACCGCACTGACCTTCATTTCCTTTGTACCCTGCTGCCTCCTAAACCACACTTTAAATGAAAGGAAGGGGAAGGAAAAACTAAGTAGGATAATATTGGAGAGGGTGTAATAATACATTATATTTTTTAAAGGAAAAACAGGATGGTGGGGAGGTTTTTTCTTTTTTCCTTTTTTTAATTTAAAGAGTAGTGGGAGGGGAAGGAGCAGGAAAACTAAATACCCCTAAATAACTAAATAGACAGACAGTCCTCAACACACACACACAGGAAAGAGAGGTGAGCAAATTTAGGAGGAATGAACCTCCCCCCCCCAGTCCTCAACACACACACACAGGAAAGAGAGGTGAGCAAATTTAGGAGGAATGGGTAAAATATACGCATGCACGCATGCACACACACACACAACCTGCCTGAACACGCCTCAAAAATAACTAATTCTTCAACTAAAATGAACCTCCCCCCCAAAAAAAGGCCTCCCCAGTGTCCTACTAATGAAAATAATAAAGAAATAATGTATATTAAATTGAATACAGTATGTCCTTTTTGAGCATACACACATTAGTATTGGCTTCAGCGCACAGGCACCAGCAAGCAAGCAGCCAGCCAGTACCCACCTCACACACAAACATTCTGGAATTTAAAAGAGAAAAGGGTAAAACACACACACACACACACGCACACACAGAGGGAGAGAGAGAGAGAGAGGGAGAGAGAGATGACCCAGCCTAACCCTAACTCTAAATTTCAAAAATATAACTAGCCTCTGGAATAAAACGTACCCTCAGTCAGCACCACTCCCCAGCTAATGAAAGCCCTCCCCAAATTCCCATTATTTCAAATAATGAAATAAATGTAAATGTATTAGAAAAAGAAATACTTTGCCACCACTGTAAAAAAACAAACTGCTAGCTGCTTAAGTGCACAGACAGCACACCAGCACCAACTGCCTGAGGCAAGACTCGGAGCAGAAGTGGGAAGTGGCTGCAGGGAAACTACTTATAAATCCTCTAGAAAGGAACTCCCCCACAGCCCTTTCTGCAGCGCATTTGGCTGGCTGCCTTGCCAATCCAGGAGTCTCTCAGTCCCTCCCATGGTTGCCTAGACTTTCTGATTGGCATGCCTTGCCAATCCAGGAGTCTCTCAGTCCCTCCCATGGTTGCCTAGGTTGCCTGCAGTAGGCTGCAGATGGCACAGGAGGCCCAAAAAGGTGTAGACGAACTAACAAATAAAAACTAGGCAAAATTTGTCACTTTGTATTCATCGGGCGATCTGTATTTAATGAATACGAAGTGACAAATTTTTGATGACGCAGTGATTTTCAAAGAACATTCGTCGTTTAGTTGTGTCCGACTCTTCGTGATCCCATGGACCAGAGCATGCCAGGCCCTGCCTCCCAGAGTTGTGTCAAATTCATGCTGGTTGCTTCAATGACACTGTCCAACCATCTCATCCTCTGTTGTCCCCTTTTCCTCTTGCCTCAGGCTGACCGCCGAAGAATTGATGCTTTTGAATTGTGGTGCTGGAGGAGACTCTTGAGAGTCCCGTGGACTGCAAAGAGAACAAATGTATCCATTCTGAAGGAAATCAACCCTGAGTGCTCACTGGAAGGTCAGATCCTGAAGCTGAGGCTCCAATACTTTGGCCATCTCATGAGAAGAGAGGACTCCCTGGAAAAGCCCCTGATGTTGGGAAAGTGTGAGGGCAAGAGGAGAAGGAGACGACAGAGGACGCGATGGATGGACAGGGTCATCGAAGCACCCAAAATGAATTTGACACAATTCTGGGAGGCAGTGGAAGACAGGAGGGCCTGGAGTGCTCTGGTCCATGGGGGTCACGAATATTCGGATATGACTTAATGACTAAACAACAACAAGCCAAGGAAGATGACATCATCAATCCCAAAGCAGGGTAACTTCCCTACTGGATTTCAGCTCTCTCTCTTGCAGTGTTGAAAGGGATTTGGTAATGGTATGGTCTTGAATGAATCAATAAATAATCCATTACTTTTTACCAAACACCTGCTCATGGTCGAAAGGAAGTGCTGGAATTGTTTTGTTGATACAGATCAATACATCCAATATACATTTTCATCTCTCCCTGAGATGTGGATCTGAGAGCTGTTATTGCTGAGCACCTGTACTTCAGCATTTACCCCTAAATCATTGTTCATATGGAGGCTGAAAACATTTAAATCATTGGTTGTGGTGCCCAAAGAGCTCTTCTCTTCATCACATACATTTTTGGCTTTTCTCATCTCCTTATTGGCTTCAGGTTATGCTACTTTTCTGTTGCTCTTTTGGGTGGCAAATGGCTGTTCCAGTTGTAAACAATTTCCAAATAGGAAGCTTAAATGTGGGTTTCAGTGCAACTCATCCGTTGCATGAGAAGGCTTCCCATAGAAGGAATGCAGCACTACAGTATGTGCATATATACAATTGACACACATTCTAGTCAATGAACTGTCTCCCTTCTATTGAGAGATCTTGTCATGTTCCACCTGTTTTTAAGTACCAGCTAAAACCATATCTTATTTGCACAAGCATTCAGGGAGTAAGCAAATGTTTAATTTGTTCTACATGATTGCTTCTTCTTACTCCTTTTATTGCATTTTAGCAGACATTTACAATTTATTATTTTAAGTTTGTTATTTGTGATTTTAAATTGCATTTCATTCTGGGCAGAAGAGCTTTCTATGAATAAATATTTGCATACAAATATTTATATCTGAACATGGGTGTAAATCTTCACTCATTTCATTCTTGCAGTCAGAAGTGAACAGAAATAAACACTTCAGTGAAATCCTTCCCTATCCCCAATGATATTAAGTATTAGGCCTTCCTTCCTTCCTTTTCTTTTTTCCTTGCATTTTGGAATTTTTCTGTGTGAAAAATTCACCAGTGTTTCACCCCCAACACAAAACCTTGTATGTGGCAAAAACACAAACCCACAACTTCTTGCATTCTACTTAAAACATTGCATTTTGCACAAAATGCAAGGCTTCTGCACAATACAGGAGTTTTAAACAAAAACCTCTTTTTTGGCGAATGTTGTGGCGCCTGAAAGAAGCTCTAGCTTTTCTCTCGTGTGCATGGATACAACATCTCCCAACCGTTGACAGTTTCTTCAGCATAATGTTTTGATGTGTCAACACACACTTTTTCAGCAAGCATAAGAAAATTTGTAAGCATTTGTTATATGTTTAGCATTATCTGGCAGCCACAAGGCTTAGTTCTTTCCAAGGAATTGATCAGAAACTTGGAAGTAACCAGTTACAAAGAACATAGGCATTTGTAATTAGTAACTCTTGAGTAATTGAGGTATAACTATGTTACATTTCAAAGCTTACAAAGTTACTTTTGCTGTTAACCAGAGACATTTTCCAGTTATTTTTCTAGCTACTTTCAAGTGCAAAAGGTTATTCTGAGGCATTTTTACACATTTTATGCTGTTCTTTTATCAGTCCTACATAGAAAAGGAAGTATACTTCTCTCTTGAATTGCACGGGTCTGAGCTGCAGTTTTGGTTATATATGGATTTTTTTGCGATAAATAAATATCCAATAAATAAATATGGCATAAATACTGAGCTGCTATTCATCTCCAGGAAATGGCCTGAGAAAGGTGGGTCTTTGACTTTCTGAGGCCATCATCCCGCTCTCCTGTTGTGGCTCCACATGGCAGCTGGGAGGGTAATAGGGGATGCCAAGAGACTAATGTGGTGTGTGTGTGTGTGTGTGTGTGTGTGTGTGTGAGAGAGAGAGAGAGAGAGAGAGAGAGAGAGAGAGAGAGAGAGAGAATAGTTTATCCTTTGTAGCTACATTTTTGGGGGCATAGGAGTTATACATAGATTTTGAACTAAATGGGGAGTCTGGAGCCCCTAACCCCAGCATTGCTGAAGGGAGAAGTGTACTGTATTTTTCTTCAGCCTTGTTTTTTTGTACCATCTTCATGGTGCAGTACTAGGGTTAGCAACTAGAGGGAACTGGAGAGTGATTCCCTGTAAGCATGTAACACAATGAAGCAGTGATGATGATAGCAGCAAATGCCATCCACTTTATTCTGCCTGGATTATTTGTCTTACAAATAACAACCAATTTGCTTTGAGCTGATTTGTAGCCTGTCCGTTTCAATTTGGATCTCAATATTCCAGAATATTTATATGTATTGGTATCAGCCAAAATACTGTAGGGAAAAAAAACATGAAAATGGGGGGAAAGAAAGGGCTCTTACCTGGGACAGGGGGCTGAACTACTGAACTACACTGTTTCAATGCTGTCAAATTCAGCTTAACTTTCAGTGTGTGGGAAAAGCTCATAGCAGTTTCCTTCCTTCCTCTTCGCACACCAGGAACCATGCAA